TGTCCCAACCATCTCAGAAAATCTATAATAGTACCGGATACGTGTCCATAAACTGTAAAGAATGATATATATTTCCATAGTGTTTGTACCTTAAAATCCTTATATGGTGTTTGATAATTTTTGTCAGCCGTATGTATGAATTAGAATTTCCCTTCGAAAATTTTCCGTCAACCAAATCATTCAATCGAGATATAATTACATCTATCTGTCCACAGGCATGCGTTGCAAAAAGTGCAGCCAGTCCACAAGCACCAGTTGTCACGGTATCAAACACAAATCCGCACATGCATTGAAGAATATATATTAATTCATAGACGGGTGTTCTTTGAACGTCATAAAAGCCACTATACGTAGGATAAACCAGCAATTTTATCGTTCGATTATATTCGTCAACGTATGATCCCATAGCATACTGCATGATCGTGTGATAAATTATGCCACCACTGTACATGAAAATAACACTACACATGGTCAGATGTCGACCGATTTTTCCATATTTTAACATATGCTCGCGATCTTTCTGATCCTCTACCTGTCAAGTAGTTGTTATATTTTTTTAACGGAGCTCTCGAATTTTACTTTTTAACTTGACAAATATAAATATTTACCGTTACTGACCTGCTTCCAATCAGAATATACCTGCTTGATACAGTGTTCGATTTTTGGTTTACGCATTGTTAGAACCCAATACTTCATTAAGGAGATGAAAGAGAAGGATGTCAAACCTGACAACTTCAATCGTAGCAACTGATCCTTTTGTTCCAACACTATATGTAGCACACACACTGTATCAGAGTGAAGAGAAAGGCTAGATTATTGACACAAATCGCGATTTTGGATAAAAAATTGCCAATATCCTCAAACACGGCCGGCCAGATGCCGATGGCGTTCAAAACCCATTTGTTATGCTTTGTGACGTAAAAAATGTCTTGTTCGTAATTTGGATTTCGCGGGTTACCAATTTGGTTTCGTGCAGATGGATGCATGTTCGCAGACAGTTCGGAAGGAACTGTCACTACTGTGCCGTTGTTTTCGATACAGTAGCAACATTGATTGCACGGTTGTTGAGTTTGTGTTCGAGATACTGCGTGCGTGCATCCCTCCGAGTACTTCCAAATCGATTATTGCTCAGCAGGTTTGGAGAAGACTAACAAAAGCTACCGCTGACTCTACTTGCTACAGTGTTCAACTTTGTTTCTAGGTATACGCATAGGGTTGTTGATACGAAGTGCATAGCGACTAAGAATTTCTCTTGTTAAAGATTTCAGTTGTATATGAAAGTTTGTATAAAATAACAGTACCTACCTCTCTAAGCATAAAAAATATTACAGTTTTCTCACTTTTTCTAAAATGGTAGCTTTTCAAATGTGATTGCTACTTATTTATTTATTTAAAAGTTATTTATTTAAATTGATACTCACTGATATTTAAATATAAGAAGAAAGATTTATAAGTGCTACTTTGTATGGGTTATAATAGGCTACGCCTACTTGTTTTACGCAGGCGTAGCCAACCCCCGAGGAGTCACCTGTTGGAATTTACTGGCTATGGTAAAACGCATGCGTTGTCTGGTGTAACTTTTACCTTTATACTTTCAGATGATTTCTCGTACGAAGTAACATTTGTCATAATAATTGTCTTTGATCCTAAGTATTATCTGCGATTAGCAGTTTAATGTTTCACGCTAAATTTACCTTTGGAGAAGGAAATAGCAATGATTAAAAACGGATATTGAAAATCATTTACATCATCATATAATCAGTTACTATCAGTAGCATCTAAAATTAATTTTCTTTTCTTGTTAGTTATATCGAACAAATTCAACACCGCTTGAGTTTAAATTGGTCGTAGGTAATTAATTGATGTACCCCTGAGCTTCATTTGAAAAACTGATATCTGCGAAAATAATTTACCAATAATAAAATGACCCAATTTTTTGGTAGTAATTGTAAAGAATTAAGTTTCATTACCAGACTGCAACTGTTCGAATTAAATTCAAATAAGCTACCGACGTTTTCACTACCTGAATATCGTTAAGCGTTAAACATCAGTTTATTTTTTTATATTTTGTTGAAACTTTATTAAGGAACGAGACTCACAGAGCTGAACGTGTTCAACGATAAATCGACCATTTTCCCAGCTGTGAGTTTTGGTGGATTCTGGGATACAGAGATCAGTAGAATAAGATCGTAAGCTTCTTTAGCTGGCAAATCATACCAATTGATTTCATATGAAATTGTACCAATTTGGCTACACTGATCACGATTATTAAAAATCTTTGCAAAATTAAAAATACATATACAAATAAGAATAATTTAATTAAATAGGATAAGTACCTGCTCAGTAAGAGTTTCGCCAATGTAGCAAAATATGAATATATTAAATGTAAAAGAAATCAGCAAGGTAAAGAGAGTTAACATCGCGATAGTATCGCTGTTTTGCCATTCCTGAAATAATTACGAATAATATATTCTTTTTCGAATAGATGATAATTGAACTGCTTACCGTTATGAAGTAATATTCGAGTAAACACATATTTAACGTGGATTCTATAATTTCCATGAAACATATTTCGCGTAAAGCTTCTTCTATATTGTTGGAGAATCTGAAATTTGTTTCCATTTGATTCTTTAACGTTTCTTTACATTCGATAAAATATAGAAAAAGAACGAGCAACTTTTGTTACATCCGTTTATCCGAGTGAGCAATTTTTATTCGCTATTACTTACCCTAAAATTTCCACGTGATCTCGTACGATAGTAACGATAGAATCGCTACCGTTCTTCTTCCCTTCTTCTTTCTTTTTTACCAAATTTTGCAGCTTTGATAATTGTATCTCGATTTGACCACAGCTGTGAGTAACAAAAATTGCAGCGAAACTATACGCGGCGGTTGCGACGCTGTACATAACCATCCCGGCGAAACAGTGGAGGAAAAACACGATTTCATATGCAGGACTAGACTGTACGTCAAGGAATGAATCGTAACCAGCATAGGTTAAGGGCTTTAGCGTGATGTTCTCTTTATTCCTCTCCGTCGATAATAATTGCATCACCGTGTGGAAAGACATTCCGCCGGTATACAAGAAGACAGCGCACACGGTGATGAGTTTTCTGCTGATAGTCACGTACTTCAGCATGATCGCTCGGTGATTCGGATCCTGCACCATTTTCCAGTCCTTTCTCACATGTTGCATACAACGCTCGAGGTAGGGTCCTTTCAGGCCAATATAGCAGTATTTAATCGCGGATGATAAACAAAAACCAACTGGGCCAAACATCTGTAGCTTCGTTTCTATTCTTTTGTCCACAAAGAACGCATGGTGGCCGGATGGTAGAATAATGAATAACATACTGAACAAGCAAACAGTCATCAAAAAGATGGACACGAGCTGTTCCAGCTTGCTGGTGTAACTATAAATGAGAGGCCACAAACCGATCGCTTTCAAAAGCCACTGGCACATCTGTAAAGTATAATGTATATCGTTTTCGTAATGGTTGTTCCTCAATTCACCGACAATGGCATTATCTAATCGATCAGACATATTGACAGCTCTATGGTGCATTGCCGACTGACCGTCATCCTATAAACCTCAACGACGATATTGCTAGAACGCAAGCGCGCGCCACTTTGTTTCTGCGAAAGCACGATGAATTTCACCATGTGCATGCGCTTTGCGAATACGGTGGTGGGGCAGCTTTCGTCGATGAACATAAAACGATATTTCCTTTATTGCATTTGTCGTTTTATATTCGTTGCGGAGGTCATAGCGCATCTATGGGAGGAGAGCGAGCGATGACAATGTGAAAAAATCATTCTATTAGGTAATCGTTCTTAGATCGACTTTCATTGGATGATAAGTTTATATTTTATTTTTGCGAATTAAGTAGGTTTATTGTAACTGTTCTGTTCTGAATTATGTATTTATATTAGTCATATTTTATATGATAATATATATACGTACATATCCAGTTGGATATCCAATTAATATCTTGGATCGTGAGACCATTTGGTTGAACTTCTTTTCTTCGAGTAAAATAGTCGTAAAAATGTTTAATTTTTTGGGTTATGAAAAGAAAATGTAGCTATATACTTTACAGAATAACAAGTGGTATAAATCTACAGCTTGAATCTCGTTTAAACGTAACTTTCCATCTCCTTTTTTGATAGATTGTGTTATTGTATCATTGGATTACTTACATAGATAGAAAAGATATCTATGAAAAAAGAAGTACGGAACTTAAGATATATATCAAAGTCGTGTCTCAAATTTGACTTCTATTTATCTTTCTATTATTTCAAGGTGTAATTTTCAAATATTTATTTTCTAATTCTATTTATTATATAGTTTATGGCCCAACACAAATTGTTCGGTTACATGAAAATAAATTTAACAATTTGAATAATAAATTTCAGATTAGGTCCAGATTAGGCCTAGATTATCAGTACTGTTATATACAGTTCAGGTACGAAATTTCTGTCTTGAATATATAATCGTGTACCTTAGTAATTTTCATCACAATTCAGTGACCGTTCGCAACAAGTTCAGGTAAACCAGCGAGGCTTTTAATATCTGAAAATGGGAAATATCATTATTGGTTGGAGATTTTATCTGCAAGTAGATATTTAATTAGCTCTGGGTCACCTACAGCGACAAAAGCATTCATCGAGAGAACAAGTACTCTGCCTGCCGTGAGTTTAGGCGGATATTTCGAAATGGCAAGCAACATTACGATATCACGAGCTTTTCTTCCAGGTAGATTGTACCACTCTACTTCGTACGAAGCTGTCGCAATTTCGCTACCCTGATACAACACTCATATCAATTATACTAATGGTTAATTATCCGACTCTAGGTTAAAAAATGAAATGAGGAACGAAGTGAATATACGCATGAATCGTTTCGAGTATCTATTTTTTGCAAGTACCTGTCCAAGAAGAAGTTCTCCTACGTAACAAAATATGAATATGTTGAAAATAAAAGAACTCAAGAGAATAATATACGTTGATATCGCGACCGAATCGCTAATCTGCCATTCCTAAAAGATATCGGCTTATAATTGTCTACCATATTTGTTATTTAATACCGAATAATGATTCGAATTATATTTACCATCATACAATAATATTGAAGTAGGCATATTAACAAAGTAGATACTATCACTTCTACAAAAAATAATTCGCGCAGAGTTTTCTCAACGTTCTTCGTAAATCTGAAATTCCATAATCATTGCTTAAAGGAACAAATTTAATTGTAAAATGTACATTTGACATTATAATCATATTATTTATCATCTGACCTCAGGATCTCCGTGTGGTCCTTCACGATAATTGCTAAGCAATTTTCAAAACCAGTTTCCAGCATTTTCCCTTTCATCTTCAAATTTTCTAATCTTGACGTTTGTATCTTAATTTGACCGCTGGCGTGGGTAATGAATATTGCTGTTAAACTGAATGCAGCCATCGTGATATTACCTATGATCAAAACATAAATGCACTGCATGCAATATACCACTTTATATATGGGACTCTGCTGGATGTCGAGAGGTGTCTCGTAGCTAGGATAACTAAGGGGTCTAATCGTCAAGTTGGTGTCGATCTCCTTTGACAGCAATGGCATAATGACGTGATAGGACAAACCACCGGTGTACAATAAGACTGCACATAACATGATCAATTTTCTACTCATAATCACATATTGCACCATGATATCACGATGATCTTTATTCTGTAACTTCTTCCAATCCCTCTGAACATGTTGGATGCAACGGTTGAGCTTGGAACCCTTCATACCAAGGTAACCATACTTAAATAGCGACGTGAAACAAAACGCTACCGGTCCTAGATATTTAATCTTAGCTTTCAGCTCTTCTTCATTGAACAGAATATAACTGAACGGCACCATGACAAATTGTAGGACGGAACAACAAATTAGAATCAATATCACAGATACTATTTTTCCGAATTTATTTGCGTCCTTGTAGATGAAGGAATAAATACCTATAGGTTTCAAAATCCAATAGCAAAACTGAAACGTGTAACGTATATCGCTTTTATAATGATCGTTCAGGGGGCGATCGTCGATACTAGAAGATTGCATGTTGACGACTTCAGAGTAGAGCGTCAACTGAAATCTTCCAACAGATCACAGTCACGCTAAGCTGCATGTTTGCCATGGGACGCAAGCGCAAGACCGACTGAATAAAACTATTTTATAATCGATAGGGACCACATGTTGCTTCTACAAAACTTGTACTTATGTTTAGTTCTACGAGTATTTCAGTTTCGAAGCGATATCTGGCAGAGGCTTCGTTTAGTATTGTTTCGTGAAACAAAGTGAAGATATAATGCTTCAATTTGGAATTTATATAATATAATAAATATATATTTCTTCTCCTTATTTAAGTAAAAAAGTTTGCTCACCACGATATTAGTCGAAAATGTCAATATAATTGAACTTTCCAGTCAAATTCTATTGAATTGCAATGGTTATAGCAAATCAATAGAGTTTTTTCTCCTTATTTATGTAAAATATATTTATATATGTAAAATATATTAAATATATTTACATAAATAATTAATTATATATATATATAATAAGATTATTAAAGTGTAGAAACTAATTATATGAAATTTTATCCACTTTCATATCGTACATGCTTTTTCATGCGTATTGCAAACAGAACATACACCAATTTAAGCTTGTAACACATGCATGAGAAGGATGAAAGGAATATTCTTTGTACTTTCACTTTTACACAAAATTTGTATAAATTGAAAACTTCTGAAGTTTACTATGTAAATATATGTTCGGTACATGCTAGGTAGATTTTACATCGTAGCTTGACGTAGTATATTTAAATATCCGAAAACGGTTTTTACTATCTGGAATTACAAATATCATGAACTGTTTGAAAAATTAGTAATGATTTTTACAGTAATAGAAATAATAAAACGTACATTACCAAAGGTGTAGACAGATAATGTAATCAATTTTCCGGCAGTAATTTTAATTTCCATGCTAGATCGTGAAATGATCATAACGAGATTCAAGATCTCTTTGTCAGGCAATTGATACCAATTCGTCATGTAAACTATGTCACCAACTTTCTTACACTGTCAGTAATTCGGCCACAGTTAATTAATTATAATACCAGATTATGGCATTGTATGTTTATTACCTGTTCTGATAGTAATTCACCGATATAACATACTAAAAATATGTTAAAAGTCATAGATACAATTATCATAGCATATGTAACCAAATTTTGAATATTATGTTCAGACCATTCCTAGGGAAAAATAAACGTTTCCAATTAGATCGATCACAGATGATTAGATTATAGAATATATGCTTTTGCCACAAGTGATGAACTTATCGGAATAACTTGAAATAAATGGGTATCTACAATAATTCGACTGTACAATTACGTGATTTACGGAAAATTTTTTGGGTTACGAATAAGAAACTCGTCAACGTGATATCGGATAAATTACATTTAACGTAAGACACGCACACGAACAAGCAAACGTTCAAATTTAATTAATAAATTTGCCAATAATTCCGATTAATCGCTAAAATAAGTTATTCAGATATTATAGGGAGCAATAGCAAAAGAATAGTGGAGGAAACCCTCTCCTCCAAGGTGAGGTACGTGGGGTCCACCCGCGTGCTGGTGACCCCATCGGTCGTTTATGACCCCTAGGGAGGGCCTGAGGTTACCAACGTGTGCGGACCACGTGGAGCCCTCAGGCCTATTGTCAGCCAAGTGTTAAGAACCGTCGCCTAATTTCGTTAAATTAGGGATTTCCAGGATTCTCGTGTTCCGCGACACGAGAAGTCAAAGAAAAAAGGTAAAGCATTCAAATGTGTTGAAGGCATGGAGAGGAAAATTCCGATGCCGAATTGTTTGATCCTAAGACCTGGCTGTAAGAAGACCGTAACGGGTCTTCCTTGTTCCACGACGGAACAATCAGAATCTTCTATTTTCTTTACTGTTACTTTAGATGTTATTTCAACAATACTTTTATTCCTCGCCGCTGCCTTTGGTGTTGGTATGTTTGATGGTTCGGTTTCCTCCGCGTCGTCTATGCGATCAATTGTATAAACTTCGGGTGTGTGCTCTTGTATCTGGTAGTCTTGGATCTTGCCGAACGAAATTTCGACTTTTTTAATATGTATTTCGACCGTGTTCAAAAAATCTGTTCTTATTATTAAGTCGTAACGCATTAATGAGTTTGGGACTAAATTAATTTTAATTGGGTAACTGTTATCATCTATTTCTACTTGTGTACTAAACTGGCCTAACGTTTTATTGTTCTCCGACCCTATTCCCCAAAATTTTATTTCTTTTCCTACTAACTGCTCCACACACTCATTCGGCCCGCTATTACCCTTCATCCATTGTTAGTGTCCACCGCTCGCCATCCCACAATCTTGTTATGCAACAGATACTATTATACACCAATAGCATTCAAGTAAGCAGTTTAGGAAAGTGATACCAACGTATTCTAGGAAACACACTTCAATTTATACGTAGGATTCTTCTGCATATCAAAAAATGCTTCGTATCGAAAATAGGTAAGAGATCTAATCGCAAAGTTCTTGATGATCTGTTTATTTGTTAATAATTATAAAAAATTCACGAAAAAGATAAAACTATTACTGCATTATTATACAACCATAGCTCGAAGGAAATTTAAATATGCCAACGATGTCTTCAAAACCTGTAAAAATAAGGTTACGTTCAATTGTTAAAAGATGAAATTGGGATTTACGTTATCGTGATTACGTGTAATGTGCTTGAAATATCGTTAAAAACCCACATTTACAAAAGAAGGCAATGACAAATCAATTACACTGCCCGCGCTAATTTTCACCGGGTTATGTGACATGGCGATAATCAAAATGAGTCCCTTCGTCGTCTGAGTTGGTAAATTGTACCAATCGGTCATGTAACAAAATTCTCCAACGAGAGTACTCTATAATATAAATAATAAATAACAAAAAGAGAATATCACGAATGAAAATGCACTATTAATATTGCAAAATACCTTTTCTATTAAAAGATTCCCAATGTAGCACAGTAAGAACATGTTAAACGTCAAGGATATTAATAGTAACGTGTACGTTGACAAACCAATGATATTATTTTGTTCCCAATCCTATTACAAAAAAATCAAGTTAACATAAAATTCATGTATACACGAATAGAAAGTAATGAAAACGTACTGTCAAGCAATAGTATTCAAGCAAGCATATTACGAAAGTGGTACCAATGAATTCTAAGAAGCACACTTCCTGCAGAACTGTCCCAACCATCTCAGAAAATCTATAATAGTACCGGATACGTGTCCATAAACTGTAAAGAATGATATATATTTCCATAGTGTTTGTACCTTAAAATCCTTATATGGTGTTTGATAATTTTTGTCAGCCGTATGTATGAATTAGAATTTCCCTTCGAAAATTTTCCGTCAACCAAATCATTCAATCGAGATATAATTACATCTATCTGTCCACAGGCATGCGTTGCAAAAAGTGCAGCCAGTCCACAAGCACCAGTTGTCACGGTATCAAACACAAATCCGCACATGCATTGAAGAATATATATTAATTCATAGACGGGTGTTCTTTGAACGTCATAAAAGCCACTATACGTAGGATAAACCAGCAATTTTATCGTTCGATTATATTCGTCAACGTATGATCCCATAGCATACTGCATGATCGTGTGATAAATTATGCCACCACTGTACATGAAAATAACACTACACATGGTCAGATGTCGACCGATTTTTCCATATTTTAACATATGCTCGCGATCTTTCTGATCCTCTACCTGTCAAGTAGTTGTTATATTTTTTTAACGGAGCTCTCGAATTTTACTTTTTAACTTGACAAATATAAATATTTACCGTTACTGACCTGCTTCCAATCAGAATATACCTGCTTGATACAGTGTTCGATTTTTGGTTTACGCATTGTTAGAACCCAATACTTCATTAAGGAGATGAAACAGAAGGATGTCAAACCTGACAACTTCAATCGTAGCAACTGATCCTTTTCTTCCAACACTATATGTAGCACACACTGTATCAGAGTGAAGAGCAAGGCTAGATTATTGACAGAAATCGCGATTTTGGATAAAAAATTGCCAATACCCTCAAACACGGCCGGCCAGATGCCGATGGCGTTCAAAACCCATTTGTTATGCTTTGTGACGTAAACAATGTCTTGTTCGTAATTTGGATTTCGCGGGTTACCAGTTTGGTTTCGTGCAGATGGATACATGTTCGCAGACAGTTGGGAAGGAACTGCCACTACTGTGCCGTTGTTTTCCATACAGTAGCAACATTGATTGCACGGTTGTTGAGTTTGTGTTCGAGATACTGCGTGCGTGCATCCCTCCGAGTACTTCCAAATCGATTATTGCTCAGCAGGTGTGGAGAAGATTATAATTATAACAATAGCTACCGCTGACTCTACATACTACGTTGTAAAACTTTGTCTCGAGGTATAGGGGTATTGATAGGACGTGCCTAACGTCTAATAACTTCTGTTGACACAAATTTTCGTCGTACATAAAGATTTATATAAAATAGCAATACCTTGTGTATAGAAATGGAAACCAATGTTTTGTACGTTTTTTAATAGTTAACAAATTAATATATTTAGATAATAATATTTAAATATTGGCAATAATTCACAATAAACTATTTTAAACAAAAAGAATTCACACTATCTAGAAAATTCTTTTCTCTCTCTCTCTCTCACTCTTATTAATACATGTTTACTCTTAGATGATTCTTACGTAGCTGTTTTATTCTGGCACATTCTTCTAAACATTTTTTGTAACAACGTTCATACAAGACTCCACTCGTATATATTATATTTATATCATACCAAATGACTTTCACTTATTCTGCCTCATTCCCACTCACATATCTAACGATTTAAACGTGAGAAGTATTATAATTTTTTTGTTTCTCATGAAAAGGTATGTTAATGTTAGTGGTGGATGAAATAACAACAATATTGATTTAATAGTTTGATAACAGAACAAAAAAATTATAACAGAATTAGTAAAAATAGATTCGCTTCACTCCACGATATAATCTTTGCACGACTCTCTCACACACAACGTGTTTTACTGTCTACTGTCCTCCAAGCACTAACTGTTTTTCACGACTCTTACCATTAGTCATACTCGACACACACACATATATTCTTTCACACAAACATTCTTTACACTTATACCAAACATATATACTTAAAAATCTATGTAACTACTACCACAGTTAATCCTTGCAATACCATTTTGGCGATATTGTTACTCATCAGGAAAAATGAAGTAGCAATGATTAAAACGATCGTTGCGAAATTTTACTATAATTACTATGAGACAATTACTATGAGAAATATTTAGATTTATTTTCTTCCTTAGTTATGTTCAACAAATTGTGAGTAACTTCATATGTTATTAATACAGATACCTTTGTGCTCTATTGGACAATATGACATCTGGAAAAAATAATTATTCAATAAAAGATTGATACAATTTTTCAGCAGTAATTACAAAGAATTAGGTAACATTACCAGGCCGTAAGTGTTCGAAGTAAATTTAAATATACTACCGACGTTTTGACTACCTGAATATCGTTAAGGGTTAAACTTAAGTTTATTTGTTTCATAATTCGTTGAAACTGTATTATATATGTACATATGTATTACGAGACTTACAGAACTAAATGTATTCAGTGATAAATTGATTATTTTCCCAGCTGTAAGCTTCGGTGGATTTTGCGATACAGCAATTAGTAGAATAAGATCATAGGCTTCCTTAACTGACAAGTTGTACCATTCAATTTCATAACAAACTGTACCAATTTGTTTACACTAACCACAAATATTGGGTATGTTCAATGGAGTGGAAGAAATACGTATATATATGAATAAATGCAATTTTTGTATAACTACCTGTTCAGAGAGAAGTTCGCTTGCGTTGCAAAATATAAACACATTAAATGTAAAGGATAAGAGTATCGAGAAATATGTTAATATCACAGCAATATCACTGTTTTCGCATTCCTAAAATAATTACAAAAATCATATTCTATTTTAAATAGATGCTAATTTAATTGTTTACCGTTATGCAGTAGTATTCGAGTAAACACATAATTAACGTTGATTCTACGATTTCCACTAAGCATATTTCTCGTAGAGCTTCTTCCATATTTTTCGAAAATCTGGAAATTTGTTGTTTATCGTAAGTTATAAGAGAAGATACAAACTTTTATTCCATTCGTTTATCAAAAAGAACAAATTTTCCGATATGTCATACCTTAAAATTTCCACGTGATCATGAACGATAGTAGCGATAGAGTTAGGACTACTTTTCTTTTCCACCTTATCCTTCACAAAATCGAGTAACTTTGCAATCTGTATCTGAATCTGTCCACAGATATGAGTAACAAAAATCGCTGTCAAACTATATGCTACGGTCGTGATGTTTTGCATAATCAACGCCGTCATGCAGTGAACAGAAAACACAATTTCGTATGTCGGGCTGGATTGTACATCAAAAAACGCATCGTAACCATGGTATGTCAGCGGCCTCGCCGCGTTGTTTTCCCTAGTCCTCTCTTTCGATAATAAATGCATTATCGTGTGGTAAGACATTCCGCAGGTAAATAAAAAAGTGGCACACACTGCGATAACTTTCCTGCTATTTTAACATGATCGTTCGATAACGCGGATCTTCTACCATCTTCCAGTCTCTTTTGAGATGTTGTATACAACGCTTGAGGGAAACTCCTTTTAGACTAAGGTAGCCATATTTAATCGTAGACGACAAACAGAAACCAGTGGGGCCAAGCAAATATCCAAAAACAGGTTGGATATGCACGTGATAATTACAAACAGCGAAATGACCTGTTACAATTTACTGGGGTGATCGTAAACCAGGGGCCATATCCCGATCGTTTTTAGCAGCCACTGGCACAGTTGCAAAGTATAATGTATGTCGTTTTCGTAATGCTTATTCCTCGGTTGGCCGTCAATGGTATCGTATGATCGATCATGCATACTGACGACTCTATGGTACACTGTCGACTGATCGACACGGTATGAACTTCAACACGATATTGTTAGAACGCAAGCGTCCATCTTTTCCTTTCAATGAAAGTGTATGATGAACTGCACGCACGTGCTTCGCGAATAATGCAGGAGGATAGCATTCGCCGATAAACAGAGAGGAATCACGTTTTTTACTCTTAGCAAGTTTAATATTCGTCGTGGAGATTATAGTGCGTATAAGGGGAGATCGTTCAAGGGGTGTAAAATATACGTTTGCGTTCTAATTTTCATAGATTTCATATCTCAGTTTAAGTATAATCAGATTATCAGATATGTAATATATCTGACATTGTTATGTAAAATAGCTGTAAATTGTGGACGTACAATTTGCATTCATTAAACGTATTATTAGCCATTTTACTCTGAAATTCGCGCATGATCCTTCACAGTAGCTGCTACAAAATTTTTGACACTATTTTTTAATGTTACACTACCTTCTCTTAAAATTTCCAATCTCAACGTTTGTATCGTTTAATCTGACTGCAGGTGAAAATAGTAAATGAAACTGTACTCGATTCATTTAATGCGAGCTATAACCACACGCTGGCAGATACATGGAATATACAATATCACACATAGGATTCTTCTGCATATCAGAAAAAGCTTCGTATTCAAAATAAGTAAGAGGTATAATCGCAAAGTTTTTAATGATCACTAAATGATCTGTGTTCAACAATGAAGTGATACTACGATACGGTAAGTCAGCTTTATCCCTGTCAGATCTTTTCTACGTTCAATGCAAACGACTCAAGAGATAAACGAAATGTATACAATGTGCAAAATAATATTTTCAGGCATCAAGTATTTTGGTTGTAACAAAAATTTTCACAATATATACGTTTATTTGCTTTTCTACAATTAATAAGCAAAAATAACAAAGCTACTGTCGCTATTACTGGCCTTTTATACAACCGCTTTCCGAAGGAAATTTAAATACGCAAATGACGTTTTCAGAACCTGTAAGGATGAGAGTAGGTTTGATTATTACGAGACAAATTCCCGATTTATGTCATAATGATTTCGTGTAGTGTAGTTAAAATATTGTCAAAGACCTACATCTACGAAAGTAGGCAGGGACAAATAAATTATTCTACCGGCGCTAATTTTCGCCGGGATATGTGACAAGGCGATAATCAAAGTGAGTCCTTTGGTCATCTGGGTTGATAAATTGTACCAATCGGTCATGTAACAAAATTCTCCAACGATACTACTCTATAATATGAATAATAAATAACAAAAAGAGAATATCACGTGTTGCACCGCGTGGGTTTGGTGGATGAGGTCCACGCGGGTTTGGGTAGGATTTGATAATGCTGCTACCCTCTTCTCAATGTGTCGCGTCACTTACGAGACATTGAGCACTTCGGTGGTGCAATAAAGCGCAGTTTGTGGTGTATTTACATTTTATTACACGTTTTGTGAGTTGTACGATGATTGTGTGCAGTGTATCGTCTCAGCCTTTGCCGTTTCGTCTTGCTTCGTCTTCCGTTTTGTCTTCTCGTTTTATGTGTTTGACTAAGTTTCGATACCGTCTTGATGTTTTGTGTTTTACGTCTTACTACCGTCTTGTTCGTGTTACTCCTCGCTGTCGTCTGTTCTCTCACGCCTCACTGTCGTCTGATCTCTAGTTTTGGCTACTGTCTGTCGTCTCGTTTTGTCTAGTCTTGGTTTGCGGTGATTGCAGGAAAATGAGTGTAGGAGGAGGAAAATTAGAGTTTTTTCATTGGACAAGGAGTTTTGGCGGGCTCTTGGGTTAGGAGAGGGAATATGACAGGGAAGTTTCTCTTTTTGGTATTGTTTTGTTTTGATTTATACGTACGTCTGGTTAGCATTTTCGTGGGTCAGTCGCACGTGCGTCCCGTCTGTTGGGTCCGGTCTCAAGTATTACCGTCCCTAGTCCTTGTCTCGATTTATGATTGTCGCTTCTAAAGAGGAACGGCTAGACGCGCCTTCCAGCTATTATTGCCGTCGCAACATCACGAATGAAAATGTAGTAGTAATATTGTAAAATACCTTTTCTATTAAAAGATTCCCAATGAAGCACAGTAAGAACATGTTAAACGTCAAGGATATTAAGAGTAACGTGTACGTTGACAAACCAATGATATTATTTTGTTCCCAATCCTATTACAAAAAAATCAAGTTAACATAAAATTCATGTATACACGAATAGAAAGTAATGAAAACGTACTGTCAAGCAATAGTATTCAAGCAAGCATATTACGAAAGTGGTACCAATGAATTCTAAGAAGCACACTTCCTGCAGAACTGTCCCAACCATCTCAGAAAATCTATAATAGTACCGGATACGTTTCCATGAACTGCAAAGAATGATATATATTTCCATAGTGTTTGTACCTTAAAATCCTTATATGGCGTTTGATAAATTTTGTCAGCCGTATGTATGAATTAGAATTTCCCTTCGAAAATTTTCCGTCAACCAAATCATTCAGAAAAGTGCAGCCAGTCCACAAGCACCAGTTGTCACGGTATCAAACACAAATCCGCACATGCATTGAAGAATATATATTAATTCATAGACGGGTGTTCTTTGAACGTCATAAAAGCCACTATACGTAGGATAAACCAGCAATTTTATCGTTCGATTATATTCGTCAACGTATGATCCCATATCATACTGCATGATCGTGTGATAAATTATGCCACCACTGTACATGAAAATAACACTACACATGGTCAGATTTCGACCGATTTTTCCATATTTTAACATATGCTCGCGATCTTTCTGATCCTCTACCTGTCAAGTAGTTGTTATATTTTTTTAACGGAGCTCTCGAATTTTACTTTTTAACTTGACAAATATAAATATTTACCGTTACTGACCTGCTTCCAATCAGAATATACCTGCTTGATACAGTGTTCGATTTTTGGTTTACGCATTGTTAGAACCCAATACTTCATTAAGGAGATGAAAGAGAAGGATGTCAAACCTGACAACTTCAATCGTAGCAACTGATCCTTTTGTTCCAACACTATATGTAGCACACACACTGTATCAGAGTGAAGAGAAAGGCTAGATTATTGACACAAATCGCGATTTTGGATAAAAAATTGCCAATATCCTCAAACACGGCCGGCCAGATGCCGATGGCGTTCAAAACCCATTTGTTATGCTTTGTGACGTAAAAAATGTCTTGTTCGTAATTTGGATTTCGCGGGTTACCAATTTGGTTTCGTGCAGATGGATGCATGTTCGCAGACAGTTCGGAAGGAACTGTCACTACTGTGCCGTTGTTTTCGATACAGTAGCAACATTGATTGCACGGTTGTTGAGTTTGTGTTCGAGATACTGCGTGCGTGCATCCCTCCGAGTACTTCCAAATCGATTATTGCTCAGCAGGTTTGGAGAAGACTAACAAAAGCTACCGCTGACTCTACTTGCTACAGTGTTCAACTTTGTTTCTAGGTATACGCATAGGGTTGTTGATACGAAGTGCATAGCGACTAAGAATTTCTCTTGTTAAAGATTTCAGTTGTATATGAAAGTTTGTATAAAATAACAGTACCTACCTCTCTAAGCATAAAAAATATTACAGTTTTCTCACTTTTTCTAAAATGGTAGCTTTTCAAATGTGATTGCTACTTATTTATTTATTTAAAAGTTATTTATTTAAATTGATACTCACTGATATTTAAATATAAGAAGAAAGATTTATAAGTGCTACTTTGTATGGGTTATAATAGGCTACGCCTACTTGTTTTACGCAGGCGTAGCCAACCCCCGAGGAGTCACCTGTTGGAATTTACTGGCTATGGTAAAACGCATGCGTTGTCTGGTGTAACTTTTACCTTTATACTTTCAGATGATTTCTCGTACGAAGTAACATTTGTCATAATAATTGTCTTTGATCCTAAGTATTATCTGCGATTAGCAGTTTAATGTTTCACGCTAAATTTACCTTTGGAGAAGGAAATAGCAATGATTAAAAACGGATATTGAAAATCATTTACATCATCATATAATCAGTTACTATCAGTAGCATCTAAAATTAATTTTCTTTTCTTGTTAGTTATATCGAACAAATTCAACACCGCTTGAGTTTAAATTGGTCGTAGGTAATTAATTGATGTACCCCTGAGCTTCATTTGAAAAACTGATATCTGCGAAAATAATTTACCAATAATAAAATGACCCAATTTTTTGGTAGTAATTGTAAAGAATTAAGTTTCATTACCAGACTGCAACTGTTCGAATTAAATTCAAATAAGCTACCGACGTTTTCACTACCTGAATATCGTTAAGCGTTAAACATCAGTTTATTTTTTTATATTTTGTTGAAACTTTATTAAGGAACGAGACTCACAGAGCTGAACGTGTTCAACGATAAATCGACCATTTTCCCAGCTGTGAGTTTTGGTGGATTCTGGGATACAGAGATCAGTAGAATAAGATCGTAAGCTTCTTTAGCTGGCAAATCATACCAATTGATTTCATATGAAATTGTACCAATTTGGCTACACTGATCACGATTATTAAAAATCTTTGCAAAATTAAAAATACATATACAAATAAGAATAATTTAATTAAATAGGATAAGTACCTGCTCAGTAAGAGTTTCGCCAATGTAGCAAAATATGAATATATTAAATGTAAAAGAAATCAGCAAGGTAAAGAGAGTTAACATCGCGATAGTATCGCTGTTTTGCCATTCCTGAAATAATTACGAATAATATATTCTTTTTCGAATAGATGATAATTGAACTGCTTACCGTTATGAAGTAATATTCGAGTAAACACATATTTAACGTGGATTCTATAATTTCCATGAAACATATTTCGCGTAAAGCTTCTTCTATATTGTTGGAGAATCTGAAATTTGTTTCCATTTGATTCTTTAACGTTTCTTTACATTCGATAAAATATAGAAAAAGAACGAGCAACTTTTGTTACATCCGTTTATCCGAGTGAGCAATTTTTATTCGCTATTACTTACCCTAAAATTTCCACGTGATCTCGTACGATAGTAACGATAGAATCGCTACCGTTCTTCTTCCCTTCTTCTTTCTTTTTTACCAAATTTTGCAGCTTTGATAATTGTATCTCGATTTGACCACAGCTGTGAGTAACAAAAATTGCAGCGAAACTATACGCGGCGGTTGCGACGCTGTACATAACCATCCCGGCGAAACAGTGGAGGAAAAACACGATTTCATATGCAGGACTAGACTGTACGTCAAGGAATGAATCGTAACCAGCATAGGTTAAGGGCTTTAGCGTGATGTTCTCTTTATTCCTCTCCGTCGATAATAATTGCATCACCGTGTGGAAAGACATTCCGCCGGTATACAAGAAGACAGCGCACACGGTGATGAGTTTTCTGCTGATAGTCACGTACTTCAGCATGATCGCTCGGTGATTCGGATCCTGCACCATTTTCCAGTCCTTTCTCACATGTTGCATACAACGCTCGAGGTAGGGTCCTTTCAGGCCAATATAGCAGTATTTAATCGCGGATGATAAACAAAAACCAACTGGGCCAAACATCTGTAGCTTCGTTTCTATTCTTTTGTCCACAAAGAACGCATGGTGGCCGGATGGTAGAATAATGAATAACATACTGAACAAGCAAACAGTCATCAAAAAGATGGACACGAGCTGTTCCAGCTTGCTGGTGTAACTATAAATGAGAGGCCACAAACCGATCGCTTTCAAAAGCCACTGGCACATCTGTAAAGTATAATGTATATCGTTTTCGTAATGGTTGTTCCTCAATTCACCGACAATGGCATTATCTAATCGATCAGACATATTGACAGCTCTATGGTGCATTGCCGACTGACCGTCATCCTATAAACCTCAACGACGATATTGCTAGAACGCAAGCGCGCGCCACTTTGTTTCTGCGAAAGCACGATGAATTTCACCATGTGCATGCGCTTTGCGAATACGGTGGTGGGGCAGCTTTCGTCGATGAACATAAAACGATATTTCCTTTATTGCATTTGTCGTTTTATATTCGTTGCGGAGGTCATAGCGCATCTATGGGAGGAGAGCGAGCGATGACAATGTGAAAAAATCATTCTATTAGGTAATCGTTCTTAGATCGACTTTCATTGGATGATAAGTTTATATTTTATTTTTGCGAATTAAGTAGGTTTATTGTAACTGTTCTGTTCTGAATTATGTATTTATATTAGTCATATTTTATATGATAATATATATACGTACATATCCAGTTGGATATCCAATTAATATCTTGGATCGTGAGACCATTTGGTTGAACTTCTTTTCTTCGAGTAAAATAGTCGTAAAAATGTTTAATTTTTTGGGTTATGAAAAGAAAATGTAGCTATATACTTTACAGAATAACAAGTGGTATAAATCTACAGCTTGAATCTCGTTTAAACGTAACTTTCCATCTCCTTTTTTGATAGATTGTGTTATTGTATCATTGGATTACTTACATAGATAGAAAAGATATCTATGAAAAAAGAAGTACGGAACTTAAGATATATATCAAAGTCGTGTCTCAAATTTGACTTCTATTTATCTTTCTATTATTTCAAGGTGTAATTTTCAAATATTTATTTTCTAATTCTATTTATTATATAGTTTATGGCCCAACATAAATTGTTCGGTTACATGAAAATAAATTTAACAATTTGAATAATAAATTTCAGATTAGGTCCAGATTAGGCCTAGATTATCAGTACTGTTATATACAGTTCAGGTACGAAATTTCTGTCTTGAATATATAATCGTGTACCTTAGTAATTTTCATCACAATTCAGTGACCGTTCGCAACAAGTTCAGGTAAACCAGCGAGGCTTTTAATATCTGAAAATGGGAAATATCATTATTGGTTGGAGATTTTATCTGCAAGTAGATATTTAATTAGCTCTGGGTCACCTACAGCGACAAAAGCATTCATCGAGAGAACAAGTACTCTGCCTGCCGTGAGTTTAGGCGGATATTTCGAAATGGCAAGCAACATTACGATATCACGAGCTTTTCTTCCAGGTAGATTGTACCACTCTACTTCGTACGAAGCTGTCGCAATTTCGCTACCCTGATACAACACTCATATCAATTATACTAATGGTTAATTATCCGACTCTAGGTTAAAAAATGAAATGAGGAACGAAGTGAATATACGCATGAATCGTTTCGAGTATCTATTTTTTGCAAGTACCTGTCCAAGAAGAAGTTCTCCTACGTAACAAAATATGAATATGTTGAAAATAAAAGAACTCAAGAGAATAATATACGTTGATATCGCGACCGAATCGCTAATCTGCCATTCCTAAAAGATATCGGCTTATAATTGTCTACCATATTTGTTATTTAATACCGAATAATGATTCGAATTATATTTACCATCATACAATAATATTGAAGTAGGCATATTAACAAAGTAGATACTATCACTTCTACAAAAAATAATTCGCGCAGAGTTTTCTCAACGTTCTTCGTAAATCTGAAATTCCATAATCATTGCTTAAAGGAACAAATTTAATTGTAAAATGTACATTTGACATTATAATCATATTATTTATCATCTGACCTCAGGATCTCCGTGTGGTCCTTCACGATAATTGCTAAGCAATTTTCAAAACCAGTTTCCAGCATTTTCCCTTTCATCTTCAAATTTTCTAATCTTGACGTTTGTATCTTAATTTGACCGCTGGCGTGGGTAATGAATATTGCTGTTAAACTGAATGCAGCCATCGTGATATTACCTATGATCAAAACATAAATGCACTGCATGCAATATACCACTTTATATATGGGACTCTGCTGGATGTCGAGAGGTGTCTCGTAGCTAGGATAACTAAGGGGTCTAATCGTCAAGTTGGTGTCGATCTCCTTTGACAGCAATGGCATAATGACGTGATAGGACAAACCACCGGTGTACAATAAGACTGCACATAACATGATCAATTTTCTACTCATAATCACATATTGCACCATGATATCACGATGATCTTTATTCTGTAACTTCTTCCAATCCCTCTGAACATGTTGGATGCAACGGTTGAGCTTGGAACCCTTCATACCAAGGTAACCATACTTAAATAGCGACGTGAAACAAAACGCTACCGGTCCTAGATATTTAATCTTAGCTTTCAGCTCTTCTTCATTGAACAGAATATAACTGAACGGCACCATGACAAATTGTAGGACGGAACAACAAATTAGAATCAATATCACAGATACTATTTTTCCGAATTTATTTGCGTCCTTGTAGATGAAGGAATAAATACCTATAGGTTTCAAAATCCAATAGCAAAACTGAAACGTGTAACGTATATCGCTTTTATAATGATCGTTCAGGGGGCGATCGTCGATACTAGAAGATTGCATGTTGACGACTTCAGAGTAGAGCGTCAACTGAAATCTTCCAACAGATCACAGTCACGCTAAGCTGCATGTTTGCCATGGGACGCAAGCGCAAGACCGACTGAATAAAACTATTTTATAATCGATAGGGACCACATGTTGCTTCTACAAAACTTGTACTTATGTTTAGTTCTACGAGTATTTCAGTTTCGAAGCGATATCTGGCAGAGGCTTCGTTTAGTATTGTTTCGTGAAACAAAGTGAAGATATAATGCTTCAATTTGGAATTTATATAATATAATAAATATATATTTCTTCTCCTTATTTAAGTAAAAAAGTTTGCTCACCACGATATTAGTCGAAAATGTCAATATAATTGAACTTTCCAGTCAAATTCTATTGAATTGCAATGGTTATAGCAAATCAATAGAGTTTTTTCTCCTTATTTATGTAAAATATATTTATATATGTAAAATATATTAAATATATTTACATAAATAATTAATTATATATATATATAATAAGATTATTAAAGTGTAGAAACTAATTATATGAAATTTTATCCACTTTCATATCGTACATGCTTTTTCATGCGTATTGCAAACAGAACATACACCAATTTAAGCTTGTAACACATGCATGAGAAGGATGAAAGGAATATTCTTTGTACTTTCACTTTTACACAAAATTTGTATAAATTGAAAACTTCTGAAGTTTACTATGTAAATATATGTTCGGTACATGCTAGGTAGATTTTACATCGTAGCTTGACGTAGTATATTTAAATATCCGAAAACGGTTTTTACTATCTGGAATTACAAATATGATGAACTGTTTGAAAAATTAGTAATGATTTTTACAGTAATAGAAATAATAAAACGTACATTACCAAAGGTGTAGACAGATAATGTAATCAATTTTCCGGCAGTAATTTTAATTTCCATGCTAGATCGTGAAATGATCATAACGAGATTCAAGATCTCTTTGTCAGGCAATTGGTACCAATTCGTCATGTAAACTATATCACCAACTTTCTTACACTGTCAGTAATTCGGCCACAGTTAATTAATTATAATACCAGATTATGGCATTGTATGTTTATTACCTGTTCTGATAGTAATTCACCGATATAACATACTAAAAATATGTTAAAAGTCATAGATACAATTATCATAGCATATGTAACCAAATTTTGAATATTATGTTCAGACCATTCCTAGGGAAAAATAAACGTTTCCAATTAGATCGATCACAGATGATTAGATTATAGAATATATGCTTTTGCCACAAGTGATGAACTTATCGGAATAACTTGAAATAAATGGGTATCTACAATAATTCGACTGTACAATTACGTGATTTACGGAAAATTTTTTGGGTTACGAATAAGAAACTCGTCAACGTGATATCGGATAAATTACATTTAACGTAAGACACGCACACGAACATGCAAACGTTCAAATTTAATTAATAAATTTGCCAATAATTCCGATTAATCGCTAAAATAAGTTATTCAGAAGTTATAGGGAGCAATAGCAAAAGTTTCACGTTATACAATAATAATCTCATATACAGTAGAAAATATATTATAAATATAGCTATTGTGTTTGAATTCTTGTAGAAGCAATTTTGCAATTTTTCTTTTGCTTAATAGACACTTAAAATTGTCATATACAGGTTGCAATGTTTAGCGTACCTCAAGAATGAAATAGCTAGGCATGCACATACCCACCATACACTTGAACGTTTCCATGAAGCATATTCCACTCATCATATGTTCAATGTGTTCTACGAGACTAGAATTAACGAGTTATCAGACAAAGTCAATAAAACATCGAATAATAAAAATAAACGTTACTTGAGGATCCTCAGATGATGTTCGACAATTACGCTTATTTCGTGAGTATGGGTATCCTTTTCTTGATTTGATTGATTCACAAATTCATTGATCCAAATTGCCATCACGTCCAATTGACCAAGAGCATGGCTGGCAAAAACAGTAGCAAGACTGAAGGCGCCAACTGCGCTCGAACTGGCGATAAATCCTGAGAGAAATTGTGAGCCCAGAATAATGCCGTGTGTTGGATTAGTATCAGTCTGAATTTTATAAGGTGGGCAAGGTAGTGTATATATGTTTATGGTTTCGTTGTCAACTTTAATGGTATGTTTCAAAGCACCCAATACAATGCAAGTAGAAACGATACCACTATGCACAAAAGCTGCAGTGAAAGCCGCGATAGATCGGCCAATTTTGGCATTCTTCAACATTATTCTCTGATCTGTGATTCTCGTTATTATTTCCCAATCGGCCTGTATGTGTTCTATGCAACGACGTATTTCATCTTTGCGTAATAATAATGCAGCATAGTTAAATACTCCAACAATCCAATGGCATAGTGGACCAAATGCTTTAAGTTTAAGGTAAAGATCTTCCTTTTCTAGGATGAGGCGAAGTAGAGCAGGAATTATAGTGAACAATGAGATGCACCAACAGATGATAATTGAAATTTGTGAAAGAATTTTTTCATGTCTCGTAGTAGAGGATGATTCGGGCCACGCGCCTATTGGTTTCAAGAACCATCGATTCAGCTGTATGCTATATTCGCTGAGACTACCAAATTTTTTCTTAACTTCTGTAAGCTCGTCTGCCATCGTGTTCACTCAACAATGTCGCGGAGACAACTGAGTAGTGAGTACGATGCGTTACTCAGCGCTTGCGCGTATTGCGTGAAAGTATACTTCGCGCCGATCGATTAAGCAAAACAGTCACTTTAAATTTTAGCAACGAGTAATGTATGTATATGTACGTTTCAAACTTCAGGTAGGGGTCGACTCAGATACCAAGTAATGTGAATTAATTTGTCGCTTCATAAAGCATGTTACTGTTTCAAACTTGTTCGAGACATGTCAAATTATCTCATATTGGAAGCTTGATAATGAAGGTAAATACTTATATACGTTTTTACTAAATGTACGATTTTCAAGCATTACAATGTTACATGTATCAAAGTTCATTGCTATTAATTTTATTTAAGATGATTTTCGATACAGTCGCGAAAAAGTATTGTAGTTCGTAATCTTTATTTCAAACGGGTGCTCGAGGATTCGAGACTTGGAATGTGCATGGCAGCGTGATTTCGAAATAGTCAGGTAGCAGGGAAAATTGTACGTTATAGCGAAGATAAATTCAACAGATTTTTGGAAATATTATCAGTGAACTTCGGTACATTACTATTATTAATGTAGTAGGTGGTGATGATAAGTGAGATGTGTGAACGAAAACCTCGTGAATCACTGACTAGACTGTACTTCATTCGTGATACAAAGCATATTGCAGGTCACATAGACACAGTCCCTATCTATAACTCCGATTGTTCTATACTCTGACTCTAGATTGCTTCAGTACTATATTCGAACTCTCAACTAACATGAACTCTACTCTCTACTACTCTATTAACTCGACTATCTCTAACGACTAATTCGACTGACTCACCAGATACTTGACTACTAGACACGGGCCTTTTAAGCCTGTCCAGGACACAAGCAGCCCCCAGAAGGAGAAGGAACTCCCTCTACGCTATGACTAATGGTGGAGGAGACTCCTCCTTCAAGATGAGGTCCTCCGAGGGTCACCCTCTTGGTGACTCTTCCAGTGAGGTGAGCGCATCTGCGTTACCCTCGGTTTAGTTACTCCTCGCTGGAAGCCAGCTCACGTGGCCTGGCCCTGACCTGGTTGCGGCCCATTTGTCAGTCAGATCCCAAATGCTGAGGCTTAATTCTGTGAATTAAGCTTTTGAAACGACGTCTCGCGTCCGGTGACCCGATGTAATAAAGAACATTGACAAATATGCACAACTGAACACCGAGCAATAAATTATGTAGCACTTGTGACCTGGGTAGAAGAAGGTGCTAGAAAACCTTGACAGATCTTCTAAACCTGGCGCATTGTTCCACACAGGAACACTTCAGCCCTCGAATCTTAAAAATATCCTACATTGATTACGTTAAATATGTAACTTACAGGATTTAAATTAAGATAATGGAAAATTTTGCAATGTTAAATCGTTATCTAATCTTATCGAATACAACAGTGCTATAATTCGAATCTCAATTTTGGTAACCTTCTTTATTTCCCGCCGATCTCTTGGCACTGTGGTAAATGACTTCTAATGTAGATGTTACATATGTTCTCGACATATTGGCCAAATTTACAGCCAGTGCTGTTGAAGTTCTTTCCTAACCACTAGCTGATACGATACAGAGAAATATGAGTATTGTCAGTAGTACAACAATGTAATACAGTGTCAGTTTAAGGAACGTTTTGATTTTATAAATAAATAAAAACATGTTCAATATTATCCTAATTTGCTTATTAAATATGAATTAGTATCTGTAATGGTATATTTAGTATCTGTAAGCACGAAATGTACATATTAAGTTATCTGTTGAATAATATTAAACTCATTCTCTACTCTTGATTATTTTCCATAAATGAATACGATAAAGTAGCAACACTTTGACAGGAATTTATCGGTTCTTTTGTCTATAACAACACTAGGGAATGTCTAGACATACATATGTTTAAGTATCCATTATAAGTATTCATTATATTATAAGTATCCTTAAGTATCCATTATATTATAAGTATCCAATAATACACTAAATAGTTTGAAAGGTACGTAAAAGGTTAAAAGAATAATTCTTGCACTAGATTCCTTCGAATTGAAAACCTCCTAAATTTATTGTTAAACTATAAGTTGTGTACATATGCAGTTTACATCATTATCATATGACGCAGAATATTTAAGTAAGCGAAAGCTGTTTTGATTATCTGGAATTGCACATGAAGTTACGATATTATTAGCGCTTCAATAATATCTCTTTATGTCTTTAAAGAATTAAGGGTACTTACACTACCGAATGAGTATATGGACATAGTCATCAACTTTCCGGCTGTCATCTTTACCTTCATGCTAGATCGCGAAATAATCATGACGAGATTAAGAATATCTTTATCTGGCAGCTCATACCAGTTCGTCATGTAAACCACGTCACCGATTTTTTTACACTGTCAGCAATTCGAACGGTAAGTATTGTAGAGATAGGGTGGAGCACGAATAATGTAAAACTATTTATTAACCATAAAATATAATATAGAATGTGCGGTGACGGTAAAGACTACGAATATAACCTATCTATTAATTAAACTCTTATAACTACAACGACACAATTATACCTAACAACACGAATACAACTAACACCTTTTTTCACAACTCTCTGCTACGAACTCTAATATACTACACGTACTACGACAGACTACACACTCTCCCCCTTGCATCCCTATTTAAAACCATACATTCTATCCTCTTTCATACCTATTCTCTCTTTCCCAATCACACTTTCCCACGCACTCCTTGCAATCTTATCCTCAGCGGGTCACGTAGCCCAAACACTCAAACGCATTCCTAAAGACACTCTTCACTTTCATCCGATACATTCATAAACATCCCGTCCACACGATCCTAGCGCACGGTCATTCGTCCTTTCGCACGCACTCTAGATAACATGCTTATCCTGCGATATCACAGTATTAATATCATACTGTTAATTATTTATGTTCAACGTATCAAAATGCCTTTTTGTAACAAATTCATTACCTGTTCTGTTATTACTTCACCGATATAACATATTAAAAAGACGTTGAATGTCATAGATATGATTACCATAACATACGCTGTTATGGTTTCAGTATTTTGTCCAGACCATTCCTATGAGGAATAAACAAATGCAATTCGTCTTATTGTTCTTTTCTTATTTTACTTTTTGATATTTCAACAACATTGCACATAATTGTATTCGTTGCTCTATAGGTGCGAAATATTTCTGTTGCGAGTACTACTACCGCTAAAACAATACCAAGTAAATGCTATTTATACGAATAGAAAACTAGACAGTGTGATATAAAGCAAGTCATTTTATAATACATGAGAAATAGTTATAGGTGTACGGATGAAATTTCAAGCCTCTAAACCGGTACTCAAATTTAATAAATATACGTATTATACAATGACTATAGTATACAAAATGTAATACCATGATTACAGATTGCAATCGTTAAAGATACTTTGTATCGATTTTGAGATAATTATATTGTTTTCTTGAAAGCTCTTTAAATTCATCAAATTGTCAAACACGAGTTTTAATATGGCTAGCGTACCATTAGGATGAAAAAACTTGTCATGCATATAGCCAACGAACAGTGGAACGTTTCCATGAAGCATATTGGACTCATCACGTGTTCGATACGCGCTATGAAACTATAGTTAATATCCAGTTAGAAAAATTCACTAAAACGCGAGGATGAAAATATGTAAATAGCCGTTACCTCAGAACTCGTAGATGATGTTCGACAATTATACCTATTTCGTTAGTCACGGTGTCCACATACCGATCTCTTGACTGATTTACGAGCCCGTTAATCCATGTCCCCAAGATATTCAATTGTCCAAGAGCATGACTCGCAAAGGTGGTAGCAAGGCTAAATGCAGCGATTATGCTCGAACTGAAGATAAATCCCGAGAAAAATTGTGTGGCGAGGACAATATCGTGTGCTGGATTAGTATCAAATGGAATTTTATAGGGTGGACAAGGTAGTACATATATGCGCATAGTTTCGTTGCCGACTGTAATGGTATGCTTTATACCACCCAATACAATGCAAGTACAAAAGACACCACTATGCATAAAAACTGCAGTACAACCCGCGATAAATCGGCTAATTTTGGCGTTCTTCAACATTGTTTTCCGATCTGTGGTTCTCGTTATAATTTTCCAATCAGCCTGTACGTGTTCCATGCAATGTCGTATTTCAACACGACGTAATAACAATGAAGCATAATTGAATCCTCCGATACAGCAATGGCTCACAAGACCAAATGACTGCAATTTAAAGTAGAGATCTTCATCCGCGAAGATGATGTGAAGTACGCCAGGAATTATGGTGAACAATGCGATGCTCCAACAGACGATAATTAAAATTTGCGATATAATCCTTTCACGCTTTGTAGTAGAGGATGATTCGGGCCACGCGCCTATTGGTTTCAAGAACCATCGGTTCAACTGTATGCTGTATTCGCTGAGACTACCAAATTTTTTCGTAATTTCTGCAAGCTCGTCTGCCATCGTGTTCATTAAACAATGTCGCGGAGACAACTGAGTAATGAGTACGATGCGTTACTCAGCGCTTGCGCGTATAGAGTGAAAAACGTATTTTGCGCCGATCGATTAAGCAAGACAGTCAGTCTCGATTTAAGCAACGACTAACGCATCTATACCTACATTGCAAGTTGCAGATGGTAGTCGACTCAATAACAGAACGTAAGTACGTGCGACGAAGTGATGGGGACTAATTTGCAATTTGAAAACAATATGTAGCTTTTCTAAAACAATTTGGAAATTGCTTTCGCTTGTGTGTCTGTCGAATGTCCTTACCCAGAAGTTTGGTAACGGAGGTAAATATTTATATCTCTTTTTAATATTCTGATTGCCTTTTAAACACTACCGTATAATATGTACCGAAGTTTATTGATATTAATTTTATGCTGGTCTCTTTTCATTCAGTATGCAGCAATCGATTCATTGGTTTTATTATTGAACGATGGACGGAGGATGTGCGACACTGGCCACACAGAATTTCCTATGTTCAACACGGAGAAATAGCAGACGCGATTACGTACTATACTGTTGTTGTGAATTGTATCAAATGTGGAACTTTCAGGTCCCAAATTAACGTTTTACGACTCTTTTACGGAAAAAATTGGACAATTTTTAAATCTTCCGATATTTGTTATTGAAAAAAATGTTTGAAGTGTAGGAGATTGTCCTTACCGAATCCTCCCATGGATAATGGCTTACAGATTCCAGAAGTAATGACTCTTCTTTAGCAACAATGAGAGTTTTATTTAAAATTAAAGAAACCATAAACTCCCTCACTCACGAC